CGTCGTCGTCGCCGTCGCGTTCGTTGGTGCTCGCCAGGACGCGCCAGAGCCCGGGCGGGAGCCACCCCCACAGCGTGAGGGACGAAAACCCCCCAACCGAGGCCACGCGGCAGCCCGGCGAGGGATCCGAGGACGAATCCGGGCGGGAAATCGGCGCGGGAAAGCCGCAAAGATCGAGAATATTCGAGCGATGCGGCCCTCGGAAGGACTGGAAGTGAGCCACATCCCCGGTTTGGTCGTCCTGGCGGCGTGGGGCGTGAGCGGGCATCGAGAGCAAAGTCGAGTCCTCGTTGCCGTGGAGGAAGCCGTCAAAGGGCGGGGGAAGGTAGAGCGTGCAGTTGTAATCCTTCCCCGAGAGGATCCCGCCGTAGAGGATGGTGGTATCCGTCGTCGAAAGCCCGGCCTCGTGGCGTCGGCTTCCCGCTGCCAACTCCCCTTCCCTTGAAAAGGGCGAGGTCGGGGCCGCCACGGCGCTTTCATAGCAATGGCTATGAATGGTACTGCCATCCGAGCAGTGCGCGCAGTACACGCGCCCGCCGTGGACGCCGGCCGCGTGAATGACCGCCGTCATCAACCGCGGGGCTTTCACGGCCCCGAACGCCGCGACTTTTCGCCACGAATCCCGCGCACAAACCCCCCGCGAGAACACCGAGACTTCGGCCCCCCGCCGAGCCACCAAAACCCCGGGCGATACCGCCACCACGCTGCACACTTCCATGGGAAAGCGCAAGGCCCAATCCCCCGCGGCCCGCCCGCGGGGGCGCGCCGGACCCGAGGGATTCAACACCTCCCCGAGCGAAAGCACCTGATACCGGGCATCCTCCCCGCAGACCAGGAAGTTCGGCCCCGCCTGCTCAATCCGCGCAATCGCGGTCGCCATCAAATCGATCTCCCCCAAAGCCGCGAGGGTTCGCGGCCCGGGGGCGGCGCAAAGCGCCGAGCGCGGCCCGAAAGAACAGCCGAAACTGCGAAGCCGGCCTTTCTTATCCCCGGTCAAGACGAGCACCTCGTGCGGGCCGGCGCCGGGCGGGAGCCGGCAGCCCCGCAGGGCGGTGGGAAACGCGCTCGACGGCGCCCGGCAGGTCGCCAGAACGGCGCCGGAGCTCGCGAGGCCTCCCCAGCGACTGATCAACACCGCCTGATCCGCGTGGGCGGTGCAGAGCAGCAGCCCCGGATCCCCCGAATCCCCCGCGGCCATCGCCGTCCCTTCCATCGCCACCAACGCCAGCACCTTCCGGTGGGCGGCCCAAAGCGGCGCGATGGCCAACCCCGGGGTGGTCGGGGAGGCGGGATAAGCCACAACAATCAGATCCCCCGCGTCGGTTCCGATCAAGGCGTCGAATCGCGTTGCCGGCCCGCCTCTTGCGCGGACCTCCCGGGCGGTTAAAGTGGTGGGATAGAAGACCCGATCTCCCCATGGGAAGTACCCGATGGGGGGGGCATCGGGTGGGGCGGAAAACCCAGGGAGGACCGCGAGAAACCGCTCCGTGGTGTACAAAACGCGACCGGCGTCGTCCACGAAAAGGCCACGAATATGCAGCGTCGGGGGTTTCACCGTTAAGGCGCCGTGGGGAGGGGATTCGGAGGTGGAATCCGCGGCAATCCCCGGCGTTCGTGATGACGGCGACAGCGCGTTAAACCAAATGCGACGGCCAAGCCGGCGGGCTTCGGGAATCGGATCGATTGCAATAGGGCTGGCCGCGATGCTGCCATCGAACCCGGCGGACGCCACATACGGAAAGCGCCATAACCCCGAGTCCCCTTCCTCCGCGCCTGAGGGCCACAAAGAGGGCAAAAGCCGGACTTTATACACCCCGTGCCCGTCGTGCTGCGCCGAGCGGAAAAAAACCCGCCCCCTCAACCCCTCCGCCGAACTCGTCGGCCCATCCAAGGGGATACGCCAAACCTGCACGCTGCCATCTTCCGATCCCGCCGCGCAGAGCAATCGCGCCGTTCCCGCGTCGAACATCAGATCCACATCGAAGATCCGCCCCCGCGAAACCCCCACGCCGAGGCCTCGCCAGAGAAGTGCCCAGCCCGACGTCGGCCGACCCCCCACCGGCCAAGCCCCCTTAAACAACGCGAACGACCGATCATCGCTGCCGGTCGCGACGACGATTTCGCCCGAGCCGGGCCGTTTGAGGGCCTTCACGGCGAAAATCGCGCACCCGGCGGCGTGCGAAGGGATCGTTTCCCGCCCCGCCCCAAGGCGGACGGCCGTGGGGTCGTCCTTTGAGGTCGAGGCGAACTCCCACAGCGTGAGGTGGCCGGCGTAGGTCGCGGCAAAGACCACCCCGCGGACGCCGCCCGGGTTGGTTTCGTCCCACATCAAAATATCCCCCGCGAGCACCAACGGCAGCGACGGGCCGCATACCGCCGAAGGTTGGCCGCGGAACTCCCCCAACTCCGTTCTTTCGGGGCCCGCGAGAAGGTCGTGCAGAGAATCCAGGCCGAAAACCCGGACGGCGTTGCCTGCCGTGAGAACGGCAACCACCCCAAGCGCCTCGTAGACGCGGATGGCGAGAATTCGCCCCCCGCAAGCGCAGGACATTAACCGCGTTGGGGGATCGTCGGTGGATCTTATGAAATAAACGCCATCCACCCCGCCCGCCATGACCACGAGCGAAAGGTCCGAGGGATCGGCCGGGGATGGGCGCGCCCAGGCCGCGATGGAATGTACCACCGCCCCATCCGGCAGGCGCGCCATCGGCCGCGTGCGGAAACGGCCTGGCGGCGCGGGCGACCCCCGCAGGATTTCGTTCCCGATGGCGAAGACGATCCCCCCGTTCGATCGATCGGGCGCGTCGGGGGCCGTCGAGAGGGCGGTGACGGGGCCGTAAAGCGAAAGCGTCTCGAAGAGGGCCGTCGGCGGGGCGAACGTCGAGGCATTGCGCATCGTAATGTCCGCGCGAACCCGTTGTTGGGCCCTCGTGAGCTGTCTTTTTATGAAATCTTCTGTAGGGTGAGGGAGTCGAGAGATCCGGTAAACCAGGGGGTAAAGAGCGTTTGAAGCAAAAGATAAGCTCACTGCATGGCACCAAATTAACAGTTCCGGTGCGGATTGGGGGTGCTCTATTAAAAAAAAAATTATTTTTCCTTCCAAACATAGACCCTCTATTGAAAACTTTTCGCAAAAATATTCGCCAAACCGTATACAAATAACCCCATTATAATAAATACTGACACCCCCCGAAAAAAATAAAAATAAAACGCACTCAATACAAAACCACGCCCACTCAAACTTCACGGTGGATTGGAAAGCAGACGATCGACCGGTCCACCGTCGTGGGGCCGAGCTGTGGGAGGCAGGCCTCGACGGTATAAAGCCGGACGACGTAGCGGCAAGTGGCGACCTCGGCGACCTCGAGGCTGTAGTTCCCTCGGCTGAGGCTCAGGCCGAGGCCGAGGCAGCGGATCTGAAGCTCGGCCTGGCGGGGCCGCCCGGTGAGGGGGCAGGGGGTGCCGTTCGCGTAGGTCGTGCGCAGGTACGG